CGCCTGCTCCTCAATCTTCCCGATGAGGCCGCACAGAAGCTCGAGCGCAACGTCGGGCAAGTGCAGAAAACTCCTAGGCGGGACCTGGTCGCATCCACAACCAGTGCCTAGCGGGAAGGACATCAACACTTTCTTGAGCTCTGGGACCGTGGGGGGAGGCGGGCGCTCTCCGAGATCCTCTGGCCAGTGCACGGGGGGCTGCGCGACCCCCACCTGCCACCACTTGCTCCACTCCCTTTCAAGTTCATCCATTTCCCCCATGCTGGAGTTGGGACGGAGGGTGAAGGAGTCGAGGGTGGACGGCTGCCAAGGGTCAGGCAGCTGCACATACTTGAAGAGCGCCGCAGCCCCACCTACCGAGTGCGTTTTAACCCATCGGTCCCAGTTGACTATCTTCAGCTGGGTTGCCTGCTTGTGCAGGCGCTCGGCAGTGTCGCTGGCGACGGCGGCGAAATAGTCCATGACTACGTAATCAAAGACGCGAAACCGATCAAGGGCCTCCAGGAAACAAACCGCGAGAATCGAATCTGGAACATCTGGCGAGCTCTGAAGATGTCGGATCCTGCACCGCACTTGCTTGGTCTGGGCAACGCTGATGGGCCTCGCGAGGGTCTTGAGGACCTGGGCCAAGGCTCTCCACCACACAGCTTGAGGGCTCAGACGTGGAAAAGGAACTGGAGCAGGCCGGCTCGGTCGACACCACCCAGTACGAACATCTCCACCACGCCCAAGGTACGGTTTCGAAAGCTCAGCGGGAATCTGATACACCTCTAACCATTCAAGCTCGGCAGCCGAGACGAAAACTTGCCACGACATAGATATACTAGCATTGCTCATCATCTCCGACGCCACCTCCCACCTGGCTAAGTTGGGTTCTCCACGGCAACCAATGGGCAACTCTCTGGGGAACCTGCGGGGAACCATAGCCATGCGCACCGAGGGTACAGTGTCCAAGGTGGGTAACTTCAACTTGACTGGAATATGTGGAGTGATCTCCACTTCTGCCAACAGTGAGACCGAGGCGTTCGCCGCAAACGCCTGGGAGACAACGAAAAAATCGATGGTCCTGTGCGCTGGAGCACAAGTTCCAGCATCCGTGTATATGGCAGCACCGTCAATTGCATCAATCCAGCCTGAATGCTGGAGCACGTCGGGCTCGAGATTAAAGTCCCCGAAGATGAGGAACGGCATGTTGGCCATTTTCAGCAGCGCGCCTAGCCTGCAGAGAAGATCCCAGCTGGCTGGCGCAAGTCCGACAGAGTGATGCAGATAGAGCGTGCACGCTAGGAAACCCCCAGGTACGAGACCTCCCACATGCATAACCATCATCCTCCCCACCTGCACGTCGATCGGAAAGCTCTCAATCGGCGCCAGGCCGATATGCTTTGGCACAGCAAGCATGATGCCAGCAGATATGCCGCCTCCAGCC